TTTTTTGGGTGTGGCCGAAGAGGAGAGATAGATTTGGACCCCGGCCGGGAGGCAAGAGATCGAGCTCAGGGATCTCAAGATGGCATTCCGCCAGAAGCTGATCAACTACCAGTGTGGATGGGCATCGAAACGCCTGGACCACAGCAGCGCGGACATGAAAGTGAGCCGGAGTCCGTATCGGACGATAGTTTTGAGTTGATTGCTGACGGCAGACGAAAAAACCTGCCGGAAGCATAGATAATGGCAACGCCATTAGGGGGAGTGAGGTTGCATTCCATTCCCTTGAGCTGTAAACAAAACAGCAACTTGATGCTTTGGCTCAAGAAAAGACAGCTTTTGTCCATTTGCGGATGCTTAGTGTCAAATGGCTGTGGATACGCTTCCATGGCTGCCATGGCTTCAGGGGCTCAATTTCTCACCCTATCCCCCTGCAGTTCACAAAGAAGAAGAACTTGATGTTGACGAAATCCAATGCCCTACATTGGTGGACTCACCCGTGATCTGTGCATTCATCAACTTTTCATGAGATCTAAAGAAGCATTTGACGCACCAGGTCCGTTCATTCTGAACTTCCCTCAGCGGGAGTTCAGAATGAACACTTACACCGCGCTCCCAGTGGAGCAAGTAGAAGCCGCTCGTGACGAAGAGGATGAAATCCAAATCGAAAGCCCGCGGTGGCCTCAAGCGGCCAGCATAAATGATGGATCCCTCCTGCATCTACTGTATCTCAACTGGAGGTGGTAGAAAATCTCAGTTCTGAATGGATCTGAATGGTACAGTATAAATATCTTTACTAATATATTTAAACTATTTTAAATCTATATTATATCATTATAAATCATGCTTTGGCTTGATATAGAATCTAGGAGTCTCTAGCACAGGACTTGTCCATCAACAGGGCGAGTCCACTTCATTGACTTCCCTTTCTGCCACAAGGCTTCCTGATTTGGTTGTCCCAAAGCTGCTTGGAAGTGGGTCCGACTCATGCTGCGGCGTGTAGCTTTTGCAAAAACCACACTTCAAAGCATCTCGCGGAGTTTCCTCGAAATTCTAGAATACTTCTGAACGTGCATCAGCAAAACAATAAGCTACTAGGAACAAGTGCATCGCTACTAGGAGCAAGGGCCTTACTAGTAGTAACAAGAAGATCAAGAAGCTACTAGACATCACATCTCTGAACCCATCTGGGCTTTCGCCCTCTTTTCCGGTCGGCCCCTTGCTCTTTCCGACCGACGTGTTTGCCGGGCTTTCTGCGGGAACCAGCAGTGCCGGCAGTAAGAAACTACCACGACACCACGACTGGGAAGACGGGTCGCCAAGAGCCTTGAGGGTATAAACGGATATAAAGGGTACAAAGGCTCATGGACCCTCAAACTGCTACATGTTGGAGGTCCAATCCCTGGTTGTAAGGGTCAAAGCCTTAGGAAACTGATGGTCCAATGAGCCTTTGGATCTTTGGGTACAATGGTTCCTGTGGTGAACCAAAAGCTTTGCAAGATCCGATTTTTGAGAATCTCTCCACTGCGAACCGATGAAAAGGACTGGGCATCCTTTTGGAATTTGAGAGGCCAACCACTCACAAAACACACCCAGAGCGATGAGCAACCACCCTGACCAACTCCACCAAACCAATCCAAGCAAATCCAACCATCCAGTGGCTTGGGTGACTCCGAGATCAGCATGCGATAGAGCTCCATCTCTTCCTGTTGCCGACTTTGGAGCAGTTTCTGCGAAATTGGATGCCTTGTCGGTAAAAAAACACTAATAAAAACATAAACACCAACAACACCACCAACACCAACACCAACACCAACAACAACAACAACAACGACGACAACGACGACACCAACGACACCAACGACACCAACACCAACACCAACAACAACAACAACAGCAGCAACAGCAGCAACAACAACACCAACAGCAACAGCTACAACTACAACTACAACTACGACAACGACAACGACAACCCATTGTCAGTACATGGAACACCTCTAGTCACTCAAGAGGCTGACGATGCCGTTTTGTGCTCATAAGCGAGAGTCATCCTACACCTAGAAGGCGTTACTCGGTTGAGAGGCAAATAGTCTAGCTAGTGAGTAAACGTTGAATGGAACAACTGGACCACAGCGACAGGTTTTGAAGCTCAGCAGTCTGCAGGTTTGGTCGCAGCCTCTTGGATGTGGATCAAAAGCTGAAAACACCATGATGGTACTGACACACAATGATTCAATGATGGTACAACCATTGTATGATTATTGTCAAGGTTACAGTAAACATCCCACGAAGACTCTTCAGCACAAGGTCACTTTTGCATACTTTTGCAAATTCTCTGCATGCCCCCAGTGGCACAAATCCTTCATCGACGCCTGCTTCATGGCGTGCAAATCCTTCAACTTCATGGTGTCTTCCTGGCCACATCAAACCACCTGCTGTCTATTTCCTCACCAAAGCTCGGGAATAATGGGACGACTCCCGACGAATCCGCCGCGGCAAAATCACTGATACAGTAGCTGCTCTGGTTCTTGTAAAGGTCCTGACAAACTTGTCACACAATCAGCAACGGTTTTGATGCGTCATTAGTGAGATGAGTGAAAAACAAACAAACAAAAACGCGTGTCGCTACATCATGCTACATCTAGCCTTTTCCGTTCCAAAAGCATGTGACTTCTCATTTCGATGGCCATTGCCAAGCCATCGGTCAGGGCACCCACCTGGACGCATTGCCCATCATTGAGCGTGAGGTGTTGCTGATCGCGAGGGATCCAAAGCAACAGCAGGAGCCTGAGCAAAGCGACGCTGAAACGTGGAGTCAAGTGAGTCAAGCATATAATTTAGGAGAGTTAGATAGAGTTAGTATCCTGTAAAATAAAATGTGTTTTTGTTTTAGTACTTTGGTTCAAGAAAGAGTCAACAGCGTTTCGATGGCCTGAATTCTCACCCAAAACACAACGCTGTGGTCCCAGACCGGCAAAAGTTTAAGCGCCGCCCACGGCCAGTAATTAACTGTTATTGGTGAGTGAGTCTCTCTCTCTCTCTCTCTCTCCCTCCCTCCCTCACTCTTATTCTAGCTTGTGTTGACTGTCGGCCCATAAGTACTGGCCCTACGCAACCACAAGTTTTCAGGGTAGCTCAAAACAAGTCCCGCACCAAACAAATCCCAGCTGTTCAAGTCATGCTAGGTCCCCCCTGTCCTACGGCACAAAGTGGTATGTATATCAACTAGTGAAAAAGAACATTCTAAATAACACCTTTAATTCCCTCGCCTTGCAAGTTGGTGGCAGTGACCCTCCAAATATGCAACATTCACAGACCAGCCCGGCCAAGGTGCTCTTCTTTCAAGTCCCTGACCTCGATCTGTTCGCTGCTTCTCTCTCTCTCTCTCTCTCTCTTGTGCTCGGTACCCCCCCCCGCCAATTAACATGGACGGTGAAAATAGACCCTTGTAAGACCATTATAAAACCATTCTCATCTACCACCAGGTGGTTTTCAGGGTCAATGTTCAGGAGGGCATTACATGCTCCGAATTCTCATGCCTTGTGGGATGGGATTACCCCTCCAGGTCCCAGTCTCTCAGCTAAGTGAATCGACGCCATAAACCGACGCCCCACTGGAGTGTCTCCCCACCCGTTTTCTCTCTCTCTCTCTCTCCCTGTTTCTTCCGACCCGTTTGACCCGTTTCCTGGGCCCTCTGGGAGTCGGAAATCGGTCCTCCAAAACTCTTGGGGGTCCTTGGAACACCAAGGAATAGCAACAGCAAAGGTGTTTAGGAATAATATGTTCATATATGTTCCTCAAGCGGAAGTGATCGAAACCAGTTGCCCTCGGTCTGTTTCACTAAGGGCAATAGCCATAGCCCGGACTTTCCTACATAAATCATACCGCTAATATTTAAGAAGATTGATATATATATATATATATAAGAAGGCAAACCGCAAAGCCTTGGGGAGTTTGCTGGTGGTCGGGCGCATGTGTGCTAAATGTTTGACTCGGATTCAACCTAGTGCCGACAGCTGACAGCTTTTACATGCAGCCTTTCCAAAAGGCGTGCAGCATTTCATCATTGCTGATCCCCACCGACTTCATGGCTCTAAGCCGAAAGTACTTGTGAAAGGCAATCTGACCATATCTTACCACATTTCACACACCAAGTTGACAATCTTCCCTAAAAGCCCTCACCCTTCAAGAAGGGCAGCAGGTAGAGATCGTGTTTTTTTCAAGTGTCTATCTGCAAAGTCAGTGATGCAGGGGAAAAAAAACAACAATGAAGTCTTTGACTCATCACGTCCATGCCTCAATTGCAGCAACTCCTCCATCCCCCAACACAAACGAATCAAAAAAGCATGTGTTCCACCTGCGGTCTCGGCACTGCAAAGTCGCTCGGCACCTTCGCTGCATAGAGCTCCTGACCTCCTTGGATCGAGATGCGGAGAAAGACCGCCCAAGTGAGGGAGGGTGAAGCAACGGAAGACATGGCAACTGAAGAGACGGATCTGCCGATCTGGTTCACCCAACTTCATCGGCAGTTCATCCACATCCAAAACGGCAAGTTACTTCTTTTCCTCCTTTATCTATGCCGAGAGGTCCAGTCTGTCCAGGCCATGTGGACTTTTAGAGTCAGAGATCTGCCAAGAAACCCGCCGCAGAAACGCGCACATGGAGGCGCGAGCGAGTGCTGCGCTCCTCAGGCAGGTGACGGTGGGCCAATCTGCCCAGCGCGGAAACCAGAAGATCTATACAATATATATATATATATATGTTGTAGATATTTGAGAATTTCATGGAATTTCAGCTACATTGATAATAATTCATCTCTCCACACAACTTTGTTCTCTGGTTTTGACCCCAAGGTATTAACTGCCGAATCCACAAAGACTCAGAGTAAAAGGGCAGTGAACAAACACACAAATTGGACATCTTATAATAATATTATTACGGATCCCCTTAAATTGAACGATCAGGGATGAATTCGGTGGATGTTCATCTCAAGCAGATTCCCAACCATGGGTAGAACAGCTTTCTAAAACCACTACTGCCATCACCAACAGCTTCAGCACTTCCAGCCGCCAGCAGAACGACCACCCACTTTGGTGCAGGTTGAGCAGCGCCCATGGCTCTGCAATGCGGACATGGCAAGAATGCCAGTCAAAGATGAGGTGCAATACAGGTATGCACTCGTTTCAGTCGTTCAACAGGTCTCACCGTTCAGTTCAGGTCGTTTCTGTCTCTCCCTCGCTCACCCCATCGCTCATAACTCCATGGGACACCAGAACCGTTCGTGTTTATCATCCCAGTTGTTCACATAAAATTGTCTGGTTTCAGTGCTCAAGAAGTCTCATTCTATAGAGAACATGTGCAGGAGGATCCTGCAAATCCAGATTTGGAGTGATTTCTGCAGTTGATCGACTATCTACACCACGTGGCACGGATTCTGACGAAGTCTCCGTCGGGATTCGGCCGACTCTCAAGGTACAAATGAAGTATCATCTTCCTGACGGAATAGAAAATAAAGGCACTGAATGGGTGTCCGTACTTGTCCAAGGGTCCAAACCTGAGCAATTTCACATGTATATGACACATGCTTGTCCATTCTGGTGTTTCCATCCTGGAGACAGGTGTTACACCAGTCTTTGTTCAGCTTCTGAGCGTCATGACCTGACGAAAAAGAAACCGCCTCCGTGCTTTTGATTGAACGTGGCCCAGTGGGTCAACAACAGCTTTCTGAAAGTCCCTTGGCCGCTTCTGAGCCTGTACATTGGCCCAGCGGGGATTCGAGCCGGGTACTGAAGACATGGGTCAAGCACGGCGAAGTTGTTGCCTGGATTACTTATTGCAAGTCTTCAGTTGGTGGACATCTGCTCACGGAACTCATGGTCTGAATTGGTCTCCAAAGGTGTGCCATCGACTGTGAAACCACTGTAGCCTATAAAAACCTCACAAATCCTGCTATCCGATATCCCAAATTCTGATCCAGACGGGTTCGAGGTTTCTGGTCACCAGAATCATTCCGTACGAAGTTGCTGCCCCTGCTGGTCTTGGTGTGATAAGATGTGATACGTTAAAAACACCACACGATTTGGGCATCGTTGTTCACTCCGTCTCTAGAGGCGATTGGTGAACGTATCTAAAGAAAGCCACGGTTCAGGAGCCCCAACACCCATCTCTATGCCTTTTGCTTTAACACCAAGGTGTTCTTTTCTCGAGCGTAAGCGCCATGAAGACTTCACGCGCTTTTGGCGTATCTGTTTTCATTCTTTTCCCTGGCGATGGCGTCTCTTTTGGGGTCAACCCCAAGTCGTCCCAGGCTCCCGGTGCCTCAGCCAGGACATCGGCAGCCTCTTTCTTGTGGACTTCCTGCTCCTGACTTAACTGCCTGGCACGGCCGAAAGCTGAAGCACACCTCGGGATGGCCAGGTCAGGTGGGGCCAGATGAACATGGTGGAAAATGGTGGAAGTAAGACTTGCAAGTATCACTAGTGAGGCACTGACTCACGCCCATGGTGACTCTCCCATGGGCCCATGAACTCCCATGCCGCAGTTCTACTGGGGATTGATACTCCGTTGAATATATACCCCCGGACGCTCCATGTATTGCCTGTAAATATCCACATGTGGAATCATTTGGGTGGTTTCAGGGGTCAGTATAGGTTGTTTCTCCGTGCATGGGCTCCCCATCCCTTTCACCCATAGGAAAACGTGCTGTTCCAAACTTGGAGTGTAGTCCCACCGGGGGTCCCACTGAAAGATCGTTGGAATCCACCAAATCAACCTAAGATGAAGAACAAAAGGCCTTTTGCCTCACATCAATAGCTCTTAAACAACAAGGAAACAACACTCCGGTGTGGCAGGTTCTCTACTTAGGAATACTTAGGAAGTTAGCTGTCAAACCACTGCCACAGTGCCTAGAACTGCTGCTCATGGTGGAAGCCTCCAGGACTGACTAAACCAGGACTGACTAATCCGACCCTCAACGTGCCAAAGCGACTGAATGTCACCTTGCAACTGTCCTCAGCTCTGCAACGACTGCTGGGCTCACTAAGAAGAACATGAACATACTGCCATCAAGTTGAACATGGCGGAAATGGCCCATAAAAAGAGCCGTGCGCAAAATGAGATACCGCCAGTCCATGGTGTAGGTACTGTAGATTGATTTCCTCATGTTTCTTTCTATTACTTGTCCATGTTGTCTATCTTCGGCAATCATGGATATCTTCTTCCGAAGGTGCCATCTATGCCATGGCACCGTGGTTTTTAAACCTCATCGCACCACCTGTTCCAAGGCCACCACGGATGGACTCTCGCAGTTTGACCATGTCCTGGGCCGCCTGAGGAGCAGAGACTGGCATAGACTGGCATTTGGACCTGAATAGGACATAGGGGTGCAAATCACAGGAAAACTTCCAAGTGGTACCAGCCTTACCAGCCTCTTGTGAACTTCCCAACAGCTTGGAACCACGTACGTAATCAAAGGAATGTCCAAAGAACTTGCAAAAACCACGCTTGTTTCCTAGACATGAATTGAGCGTCAATACGAAGCCTGACCGGTCGTAATGATTTAGACCAATTGCAAAATGAAGGGGTTGAAGCATGAACTGCGGTAACCGCTGCATGCCGCATGTCCCGTTTTGTTGAGCATCCCACTCTCTGAAACTCAAAAGCGTGTTACAGTACAGCACATGCATTCTCACAATGCACTTGCAACGATTGAGCTGCTTGTTGAAAGCACCCAGCCTGAAGCTGAACGGCTTGAAAGCCGTTGAAGCTGCGAGATACAAGCTGCAGCTCCTCAAACAGCCCAAACCCGCAAACTGAAGATGCGACGGAGACAGTTCCAAACATGTATAGGGACTTTGGCACCGGAGCTTGCATGGTTGTATCCAAAAAGTGCGTGCGTTCAAGAAACCTAGGGGATTCATCAACCATGTTGTCACTGACAGACCATGTGGGAAGCCAGATGTGGGGTCTGGCGCTGACCGAAACTCACCGACGACCGACCAACCGCCGACGAAAGCGAATGGCAGACCCACTGCGTTCGGGTATCACACCTGAACTGCGTTGCTTCTGATTTGCGAAGATGTATCTATCACACTATATAATAATACAACATGTTCTTGTTATTCCTTGTTATTTAGTTAGTTCTTGTTACTTGTAGTTGACACACTTCAGGTTGCGGGTTGAGAATTTGGCGTTCGCCCCCGGCCATCGACTCCGTCTTCGCACGTCCTGGGCCACCGCCGCGTGCACCTCGTTGAGGACCTGGGCTGCGAGCTGCGAGGTGCATCGAGGTTTCTGAGAAGGTGTGATTTCACCATGGTGATGAACCACTATATAGACCATGGACATATAGGTGGGCGGAAACAAAGGTGTTGAACAACCAGGAATACCGATACTGGTTGGCTTTACATGGAGAGAAGAATCAAAAGGCCCCGTTCTCAGCTGGAGGGCTAACTTGAGAGCCATCCTTGGCATGGAGCCTGATTGTTCAGGTACGTCAGGGAATTTGCGATTCAAAATGCTTGTTCCCCGGAGAAGCAGAAAACCATGTCCAGCGATGTGGAGATGCGTACCACTATTCTGTTACATTGAGATGATCCCTTAAAATGGGATGTCCCCAGCTCGATCTTGGTTACCGTCAACAAGAATCCCCTCCGCTGTGCTCAAACGACTTCGGCAACTCACCGGTCGAGGAGGGGGCCTGTGCATGGAGATTTCCCAAATCCTTCTGGATCTTGTCATGACCTCAGCCATCGTGCGTGTCACACATACGAAAAAGGAAAGGAACTTTGAGTGGAAAGCCTCGGATGAGGATGTTCTACTATGATGGTTATATAATGTTATGTAATGATAATTTATTGATTCGATGTATAAGATGTAAAACATATTGAATATTGGGAAGGGAAATCCAGCAAAAACCATGCCCACTGGCGAAGGAAGCGTAGGTGGGATGTCTGATGGGAGACATCATATCTGCAATTTCTGTGAGTTTGCCCACTTTGCCATTGACCATTTCGGGTGCCAGTGAGAGGGGCTCAGGTTCCTGAAGTGGGGATCTTGATGCAAACACGGCACAGTGCTGCGCCTGGTATTGCAACTCCGCCTGGCTTCGGGAACCCAAACCGATCAGTACATGGACTATACATGAGGTTCCCGTTGCCATTGTCTTGGAAAGTTAGTCTTAGGTCTTGACAGGTTTTGAGACAAAGCCAAGCAAGCACTGAATCTGACTGAATCTGAATCTTTTGCCAACCTAAAATTATGAGGACAATGTAGCACAACATAGCACAACGACTCTCCAGACTCAAGAAGGAACATGGACAATGTTCATTGTCTCTAATACAGAGTTGGGAATTCATTTGGGTTTGTCTCTACATGATAAGGATAAACAAACTATGCAGTGAGTGAAACTATCTATTTTCGCTGTTGATTACCCGTGGCCTTCAGCCACACCCACCCACGTAATATGTACATGTATCTTGCATCTCCACATCTCCGTTCATTCATGTCATCCCCACGGCCTCCAGTGTCTTCCAGCTTGCCTTCGCCTCAAAAAGCCCGAGTTCGCTGGGGCCGGCCAGAAGGCCCTTCTCCAATGGTGGATGACAATCAAAGGGATCCCAATTTAGGGAGACCTCTCCTGGAGAAACTCCGAGACACTCGTGAAACACGCCACCTCGACAAATCCCCGCCCTGATCCGGCATCCAGACGCGTCGACGCGAAGTGGACGTGCTGAAAATCATCTGAAAACTCTGCACATTACATCTCAAAATCATTCAAATCGAGGTTGCATTCAACAAAAAGCGACCCAAGCTGTCTGGGTCAAGCTGAAATTACGGCTGTCATTGAAACGCGTTCAAGAGGAGCCATTAAGACTCTCTTCTTGGTGGGATTGTGTGGGGAGTTTCAACAAAGACAAGACTTCACGTTCGGGGAATGCATGTACAAAGACCTGGGTCATGGTCCAGCGGAACAACACTGGATGTGAGTCCAAAAAAACTCGACCTCCAAGAGCGGTTGATATGAGCGTGTATTATAGTGTATGAGAACAGTAGAACCCCCTGGCCCAATGGTTTTGAGGTTTTGATCCATGTTCCTTCTTCCAGGGGCTCCTGCGGGGTCTCCTATTGGAGTCTTTACACACTGGTAAACACCTGGGGTGTGTCCATATATTTGGCTCGGACCACCTCCTCCATTCTTGACGCCCTACACGTGTGAACGCCACTCACTGAGCTGGAAGTTCTTGATCCCCAAGCACCAGGTCCAACCTGTACGGCTGGTCCGTCCGGATGCCGCTCCTGACTCGGGGTTCACGCCTGAAGGCTGGGCGGCCTCAAGGGCTCCACGAAGAAGGGCGAAGACTGCCACGCCTCGCGAGCGCCACGTGCGGTTCGGCACCACCACCGACGCGATGCGAAGATCGATGCGACGCGAAGATCAGGGGTCAACTCACGCGGCCATGGGGGGCAAAGGTCGGGTGTGAAAAATGATCCAAAAGTTGGCACTTGGTGTGGTCACTTCTCTTGGAGGCTCTTTTTGAGTGTGCTTTCAGTTGAAGCTGGAACATTCTAGGACCAGAATCTGGTCACATGGACCATCAACATCGGTTTTTCACCAACCTGCCCGGCACCTGCTCATCCATCACTGCTTCACCCCCACGTGGTGTGGGCGGCCCACGGGCGTCGGACATAAGACAAATACGTGACTTTTGGTGTTCTTTAACAAACACAAGTGACAATCTGAGTATGACAACATATTACAAATGATGACAATTGTCATAACACATCATTAGGGCATAGGCCTCTGACTACCTGAATTGAATCGCGAGAAGATGTGGCATTCCCACCAGATTTGGGCGATGGAACTACCATAGCGAAGTCACATATTGTTGAAGTCGGTTGTGCACAGTACCCACAGATTCATCGGTGAGTCGGTCGTGCGTTGTCTTCCAATGTGTGTGATTCATCTTGTTTTCATGCTCATCAATGTGCTTAATTAAGCGCATCCTCATGGGTTTCCTCATGCTCATGCTCTTAAACAAATCCTACTTGGCAAGCATTTTGCTGAATCAAAGCGGCGATGACAAAACCGTTCCTTCGTGTCTCAGGAACAACCATGAAAGACCTCTGTATAGACCCGGTGAAAGATGGTTTCCATGTGGTAACCCACTCTGAGCCCTGAGCCTACTTGCATGCCCACCAGCTTGTGGAGCTGGACAGAACATATATAGATCTTCGATTTCCCTAAGGACCAAAACAACCTCGGATCTAAAAAACAACGGATCCGTTACCCCTGACCGTATACAATGGTCGAGCATTGAATCATCACATCGCGAACTGACCCGAGGAACCAGTGCCCGCTGTTCCACGACTAGATTCCTCAGTCTTCACAAACTGTCAGCCGGCTTCCCAACTGTGACCTTGGTCAACCTCGCCAAGCTTCAAGACACTTGCAATGGCATGTCATTATTTAGCGGAAATACAGCAACCCCTAAGCCGCCCCGAGCAAGAGTCGAACCACAAACCTGATGGGTGGGGATGTTTATGAAGCTGTTCTGCTTTTCTGTTCTTCTGCATCTCTAATCCTCCTATTCCGACCCCAAACGACCCAAACGACAATGGCAAGTCGAGAGACCGAGAGACCACGGTTACGACAAACAGTGAGGAACGCCCCCAAAACCAGAGAAAACAGAGCACGAAACGATGGCAACAAAAATGCAACATGTAACAAGTCCTACAAACAGTATGTATGAGGGTTGTTCAACAAACACAGAACAGGAGTACAAAGAACAACACGGGGTGTTGTCACTGTTCAGAGCTAGAACAGCACCGTTGGAAGAACAGCACGGTCGGCACGGCACATGCGCAACAACGAAATTTGCGTTCCAATGAGGAAAGTCACCGCGCCACACCTGCGCACCAATGCTTCACCTCTGAGTCGCAGGAGTCTCTCCAATTCCGTTCTCTTCAAACGGTGCATTCACGGGGTTGATCTAACAGGGTCACTAGATTCATGGTGTTAGGAGGTTCTCCAAGGATCTCCCACCCGTGGTGTCAAGATATCAGCTGTCTTGGCACCGTTTGCACCTGTCACCCTGAAAATGCAGCCGCCACCTGGCCAATGCAGGTCAACGTTCAGAGTCACGTTTTGAGGCGTCAAAACCTGATCGTGGGAGATTTCAGGGAAAACTAAAACACTAAGCTGTGTCCCTGTAAGCCCCTACTTATACACTCAATTGTCCTTAACAAAGGGAAGAAACACCTTTCACTGGCTGGTTGATCACGGCATATATGGGGATTGCAATACTCCCTGCAGTATCTACTATACCCACACTCTCCATGTATTGGGTGGTATCAGGGTCAATGTAGATACAAGATAATATACTAATAAATATCTATATTCCATACATGGAGCATCTGGGATATTCATAAACTGATGGGTTATGTTATAAAATGAAAATATTCCATATCTCATATTGCCCCTTCGCCAGTTGGAGAATCTGCAGAGTACATCGTCATACACTAAAGGAAACAATGAGGTGAGACAATGTAAAGAACAGGGATCATACACTGCCAACTGGTGACTGATGCAACGTTCGTGAAACACGATCTTTCCGAGACTCCCCCATGGTGTTTTACGTTAAATTCCACATGTCAGCCTCAGGTCCCTTCCACATCCATTCACATCGCCACTCTTCACACAGCTTTTCACCGAGTTTGCAAGGCTCCTTTCACCACATAGACGGTTTGACGGCCTGGGCGCCGTGGCAAACGGCCCCGGTGGTGGACCCGAGAAGGGGGCTGGAGGACGTTCAAGTGGATTGAAGAACAACCCAGTGGATCCAGGCAAACCAGCTATAGTTACATAGGTCAGTCACCACTATTGTAGACTCTTGATTAACAAACCGCCCCCCTTAGAATATAACTTGGGAGGGTTACTAATCAAGAGTCTACATTTACTGACCACGGGGTTCCACAGACTGAAGGACCTCGAGGCCCGCGGGCCTCGAGGTCCTAAGATCCACGCCCTGATGCGATCTCGTGCCCTCGGTCAGGGCGCAGAAAGCGCCTTGGATCCTGGTGCCCTTGGTCCTTTTTCAAATTCAGCGGTTGGGGGCAGATGGGGCGGATCCCGAAATTCCCTCAGCGGATCCGGACACATGGCGATGGGATCCGCGCTTCTACGGGGTTCAGGCTGAACAATGTGTTCATGTGCAGGGGGTCCCAAAAGCTTCAACTTCCCAAAGTATCCAAACTAATCACTTAGTCACTACTTAGTTCAATCTCCTGGATTTCTAAATGAACCAGCTGTAGAAATGATTCTCAAGCAAACGGATTCTGGATCCTCACAGTGTCACAGGGATCTAGTCAGACCCCCTTCTGAGCCCCGCAAAGACCCAGTGGGGCCGGACGATCAGAGTCCCACCTCCAATAGAGCATCCATGAAAGCATACTGCACTCCGACAACGGAACAATGAAGTCTTCCCAGACTTCATGCCATCATCTTCCATACAGCGTATGTCTTTCACATCTTTCACCTATAAACAAACCAACGCAGCCAAACACCACCAAAACAGCTGACTGCTCAGCATCAGCCCGTCTGGTCCGTCATCCAAGCACGGTCACCGTCTTCGATCTTCTCGGCGATCTCCCGCAACTGTTGGCGGATGATGTAGTCACTCAACTTGCACCTGGCGAGTCCGGTAGTATGTAGTCATTATAGATTTGACCCCCAATCGATGGTGTTGAGGAGAACTCCGCTGGTTCCTTCAAAAAGCCACAGGGCGGCTAACGTAACGCCGGGGGGGGGGCCGACCATGACTATCCTCATGGCTGCCTGGCATCCAGTAGGCTCGTTCACAGTTCCCATGGGCACCGTTTCGCACCTGGAGATCTGCCATGCCAGTGCCCAAGTGCTCCCATCCATCTCCCTGTACCTCCCTATCCTATTCTCCATTTGTAGGGCTCCAACATGCTCCAACCATATCCTCAGGTGGTTGGACTCACCCCCTTGCACCCACCCCAACCACCTTCTCAGCGGGTAGTTGGAGCTCTCCCAATGGTCAACATACCGTGTCCACCCCCGATCTCCCGCTCCACGCCCTTTCCTCCCGCACCGCCGATCTCCGTCGGACTCGCGCCTTTCGCCATGAACGCGCTCGTACTCTTCCTCAGCGGAAGGCGCACGTACGCCACGAACGAGCACAGCGCCGGAAGAGATCGGGACCGAGGTGATTCGTACGAAGAAATCGCCTGGGTGTGAAGTCCTGTGCAGGGTCGTCCAGCCAGGACACGCAGCATTCGAGCCAAATACCGTCAACATCCAACAATTGAAACATATTGAAACCTAGAAAAAGAGAATCCCTCAAACGTCGCAGTCGCAATGGTCACGTCTCCACTTTTCAGTCAGGTCAACACCTGTCACCAGTTGCATGCTGGGTTTCAGATCAGCCAGTCAGTTGAGGCCCAAACCATGACATCTTGCCGCGTCACCGAGTCCTTGCTTTTGAAGAGGGTCAACCTCGACGGTTGCGCGGGGTGGGAACCGGCGCGGGCGTATGAAAAAACCGCTAGCCGCAAGGTGAGAGTCGAAAGTCCTAAGTTCCTGTGGAGGGGATCCTAAGTTCTTTTGGAGAAGAATTGGAGGGTTGCCCCCCGGACCTGTCGGAGATTTAAGAAGTAGCAACTATACAAACACTGCATAAAGAATTCCAGGCTACCCCAGGCCCATCTGAATGAGTGGGATCTAGAAAACATGCGAATACACGGGCCGGGGATCGTTAGAGGCTCAAAACACAGTCTCTTAGCTACAAAATACAGGATCCAGCGTACCCACATATGGATACATATGGACGTAAAAATAAGGAATCTCTCTGCAACAATCATCACAGGATTTCCGTGCGAGGCTGCCTACCGGGACCTCTGCATCCTACCGGCACAGCTGTCAAAACACCACCAATAGTGAACTAATGCCTGTTTGTGTTCCCATTCAATTGCGACAGTTGCTCTCTCTCTCTCTCTCTCGCTCTCTATACATATGCATCGGCTCGAGTTGCTTACCAGGGTTTTTCGAGCTTAAAAGGGACAGCTACCTGTCTTTGCGGCCCTGAACAGAACTGCTAGCATACCAACGTGATAAACGGAAAACTTGTGTCAAAGGTATCTCCTGCTTACTCAGACCAACAGAAACCACACGAGCAGAAAAAAAACATAAGGACAGTGGGAAGAAAAAGGCCACAGCTTCGTGTCTTTCTTTTCAGAAGCTTCGTGCATCCCAAAGACCCAGGTTGCCCCAGGATCTGGGCAGCAGTCTGGAAACGGACATTGTCCAAGGCCTGTGGACATTGTCACTGTCGCCGTCGCGAATGGCACGTCGCTCTGCCAAAGAGCTGCAACCATCGAAGGCAGACCTTTCCATATGGGTCACTGAGTTTGGGATGGTCAAGTTCGCCAAGGAGCTGCAACCCTGAAAGGCATGATACCCAATGTAGATCACAGAGTTCGGGATGGTCAAGTTCGCCAAAGAACTGCAACCCTTGAAGGCACATTTCTCAATGTGGGTCACCGAGTCTGGGATGCTCAACTTCGACAAAGAACTGCAATTCCAAAAAGCCTCTCTCCCAATGTGTGTCACTGAATTCGGGATGGTCAAGTTTGCCAAAGAGCTGCAATTCTGAAAAACACAAGGCTCAATGTGGGTCATTGACTTCGCAATGGTCAAGTTCTTCAAAGAGCTGCAGTTCCTAAAGGCACCACCTCCAATGTGGGTCACCGAGTCTGGAATGGTTAAGTTCACCAAAGAGCTGCAACCAGCAAAGGCATAATTCCCCACATGGGTCACTGAGACCGGGATGGTCAAGTTCACCAAGGAGTTGCATTTCTCAAAGGCGCTATCACCAATGTGGGTCACCGAGTTTGCGATGGTCAAGTTTGCCAAAGAACTGCAATTCTGAAAGGCACAAGGCTGAATGTGGGTTAGTGACTTCGCGATGGTTAATTGTTTCAACGAGCTGCAGTTACTAAAGGCACCAATCCCAATGTGGGTCACAGAGTTTGGGATGGCCAAGCTCACCAAAGAGCTGCAACCGTCAAAGGCACCATCCCCAATGTGGGTCACTGAGTTCAGGATGGTGAGGTTCACCAAAGAGCTGCAACCGCTAAAGGCATAAATCCCAATGTGGGTCAAAGAGTCTGGGATGGTCAAGTTCACCAAAGAGCTGCAACCAGCAAAGGCAAAACTACCCACACGGGTCACTGAGTTTGGGATGGTCAACTTGGCCAATGTGTGGCAATCTCTGAAAGCGTCTTCAAGAATTTGCGTTTCAGCGTTAGGAACTTCAACCACAAGCAACAGTTCTGAGTCAACGATTGCTCCAAGACCGGCTATCGCATCTTTGTTGGAGCATATCACGTTGTTTGTTTTGAAGACAACACTCAAAACAGTATCTTCAGCAAGTCCAGCGTCCAATACCTTTGAATCGTTGGCCAGCAAGTGGTTGTCTCCGAAAATGACCTCCACACCTGTAGTGCTGCAAGTGAGCTCGTCCCAAGGCTGTCCCTCCTTGATCTGCTGCTTGAGCGCTCGGCCTGTTTGGTCTGGCATGACTTCAAGAACCAGGATTCCACCACTTGGCTGTACAAATGAAATGTTCTTTGCCATGGCTCAAAGACTACGGTTTTTATTTGGACTTGAGCTGGTTGCTTGATACTGCTTGTTAGCCGGGCAGGATAGATTTGAAGATCCGTCTATGATCATGGACATCTGTTTGGCGTGGCTTCTTCACTGGTCAAATGATTCTGACACGCGCTCCACACACGCGTGTAAGGTCTGATCGGAGATTTCTGCGAGAAATCAAGCGTTGAAACTGGACATCATGTGATGTTCATCAACATGAGCACCTTAGCACCTTCCTTTCGTCCGGGTTCCCTTCTGGTTCGAAAGGGAACCGGTTCGGTGATCAACCGATCAACAAACCTTCTGTCAAACAACACGATTCTGACCAACAGCTTCTCACCCTAGGACTCTCCTATCAGTGATGTTAACCAATGAAAAAGGGGGTCACTGCGCTGTATCAAACAGTATATGTCAATTCGACTTGGAACACATACGCTTTGGACCGGGTTTCACCGCCTTTAACCACACTTTGGACCGACCAGTCGTACCCGACTGGGTGAGGCCTGGATGTGTTGCACCTTCATGTCGGGGTCACCTGGCTGGTTTCGCCCCAGCCCACTACGTACAGGGACCTCCAGACAGGACACCCCGAAAGAAGGTCCAGGTACAAGTACCCTTGTGTAGCCTTACGATGGTGTTTTGTCCCATGTCAAACATCTTTTAGAGGTCCTCCCTTGGTTCCTCTTCGAACCTGAGTCTTCACCACTTCCACATCACATCCAGTGACCCACCACCAGTCACCACACCCGTCTGGGCAGATCCGACAAGGTCTTGCGGAACTTGTCGTGTGACTCGGTGCCAGTCCCGGCCAGGACCCAAACGCCACGGACCTGGTGAGGAAAGCATCGGACAAAACGACGACGACAAGACCCCTGGAAGCTGAGGGTCATCCGCTTGACGAACCCGAGTCTCTACTGCCTATTAAACTCCCAGATGACTTTGAAGTTAGAACCTGAATATCGTATGATAATATACCTAGACCTCTAGAACCCGAGTAAACTTTCTCTCTCTCTCTCTCTCCCTCTCTCTCTCTCTCTCTCTTGGTTGGTCTCCCAAAAAGGGGTCACTCAGCTTCGACGTAAGACCTGACTACCAAACCCATTAAAGCCCAGAGTCTTCAAGACAAGAATCAATCAAAACTCAGATCCAAACTTTCACTTTCAAGATCTTTCCGCCATACATGGGGAAACCGATCCCCCCCAACATGTTTGGCAGGTGATCCATTCTTCGGTAGGACAAAACCGCCGTCAGAAAAAGACCGACCGAAGCGAGAGGGGCCGAAGGCTCACCTGCAGGGCGTCCAACTCCTTGGCATTCAATGTGCTGATGAGATCTTCCTGGCAGTCGGCTGCGATGTCTGCGATAGCAGGGCGGCTTCGGTGTGAGGGTCCAGGGTACAACAATTTACGGAGCAAAGGATGTGGGGCTCAGGATTTTAGTGACGTTGGGCCTGACCCAAAGGAGCAAACACAACGATGGGGTGCCCAGGATGAGGTGCCCAGGATGGGGTCCAGTCGAGCGGAATAGGGGGCATAGGAGTGGGGAAGTAAGATGAAGTAAGGGCTGCGTGGGGCAAAATGGGTGCGAAAGGTGCACCATGTGAGTGTCTCTCGTGCTTCACTTCCGATAATCCTTATCGGACAATGCAGTCTTTTGTTTGTGTTGGGACTGAAGCATCACCAACAAAAATTGATTAAAAAACAAAGACAACTTGAAAGCAGCACCTAAAAAGTAGTTGCCTGCATTGAGGTGTTGTGAGAAATCCATGTCAGTCTGCCAGTCCGTCTCTAAGTCAGCCCCTAGCCTCTAGAGCATCCTCATTCGAAGGAACTTCCTCGCCTCGCGGATTTCCAAGGTGGGGTGCTTCCGCTGGACCAGCCTGGACTGGGCGTCATCTTCCGGCACGGGCACTGCCAGAGGTGGTAGAGCTGAAGACGTGGGTTTTACAGATGTGAAGGGGCAACTGGTCATCTTTATGTTCTTACCACTCCAAGAGGCCAGCCCAGCCACCAAAGACACATTCAGAACCACACCTGGCGATGGGGGTGTCTATCCGAGTTCGTTGGCTTGTCGGATGCTCCATGCTTCATACAAAGGCATGGGCCATGCGGCGTGGGTTTCATGGTCAAGCGGATTTTTCACAGACCGCAAGTTAGCCTTTCAATCATCAACAGTGGTCATGGTGCCTCCAAAGATTGCAATAAGGTTTGAGGGGCAGGAATTATGTTGCTCTTATAAGAAATCACTAGTTATCTGAGAGCAAGATAATATAGGGGCAACAGATGTGATAAATATGATGTCCATTCACCAAAAGTAAAGGAGAAATTGTGATTAATTTCGGTCACTCACTGCCTTACAATTTTATGTGGTCCTTTGAAAATTGTAAGGATATGAAGGGACATCAGGCATCATCATATGATTTTTCATGTCATCCATGGATTTTAATCAGTATTAGAGATGTTTCATATTAAAGTCAATGGAAACGACGAACAAAAACATACACAACCATGTATTTTACTCTTAATAGTTACTTTGCTTTTTTGTAGATGAAAATAAACGGACCATATCATTCATAAATAAAAATCCAATAAATATATGTACAATTATGTATATATATATATATCATATAACATAGAGTATAACATAGTATGATTGGGGAGTTTAATGCTCATAAAAGAACTACCATCCAATTGTAGATCTGGCATGCGATTCCAAAGGGTGTATCGGCAGGCCAGATCATCCATGTTATTTGTTGAAATTGAATTGAAAGGAGAAGGAGAAGCAAACACTTCTATAATTACCAAAAGCTATATCAAAAGCTGGATATCTCTACCCCATCCACTTTAGCAAGCTGGTTTTAGATTCCAGACACCCCAAATTCAGGTTGCATCTTTAAATTATTCTAAATTCATGAATCATGCTCTTCAGAGATCTTCAGAGTACATTCAGTGATTCAGGAGGCCCCCAAACCCTAATCACTAATCACAATGGTCCATCCTACAAATCTACCGGAACCTGAACAAATCACCCTTAGTGGTGGTCAATCATCAACTCTCTAGGGGCCTCACATGGACTGACCCCCACGTAACGTCGTAACTCTTGGGATTCCCCACTTCTTCATCTCCTCCGTCGTCTTTGGCCCGGACAAGAGGCACTCGCGCACCTCTCATGATCCCATGACTTTGGACCTTCCAGTGAAGATCTGCAAGGGAGCGCAGGTCTTGGCTATGTTTTCAGGTCTCCTGAGGCATGAACAACGCTCCGTGGATTTCCACCACCCGCAGGAGACCGTATGCCCAGGAAGAGACCGGGCATAAGAGACTCACGTGGAACCCAGCAAACACTGGGTTCGTAGAGAAAAATCGTATAATATAGGTTCCATCTTAATCTTGCCGGCTGTGCAAAGTTAAGGAACACACACCCACCAAAACTTCAGGAAGTCAACAAAAGAGGCCTGTAGTTTGCATGTCAACCAGAAACCTCTGACTCTACCACTGCAAATCCTCCAAATCCTTGACGAAGCCTCTGGCACCAGCTTGCCACGAAGCCTTGAGCTGGACGCCGAGCCCGAGCCCTCGCGGCGCTGCCGACCCACCCACCCCCTTCATCGAACGGGCGGACGCGGGGTCATGAAGTTGATGTGTTTCCACCCGACACATATAGAGAACTGACAGGCTGCTTCATCCAAGTCGATTGGGAATAGAATGTGCATCCATTTTCGTGTGTTTGATAGGGAGCCACCACAGAAAATGGTTGTCAGTCATTTATTGTTCCTCTCATGAGTCTCAGAATCATGGAAGTGGAAATGGCCCTGCCCGTGGATGACCATGGTCTAGAAACAGGTGGTGTTCTACAGTTCTACTTCCATGATCATTGCAGTGTGTGTGTGTGTGATATCCGTGACACTGCGCACCCAAATCACCCACACCTGCAAGGTCGTGCCCTTTGCCACACCTGGCCGCAACGGGCATGTGCCGGGGTCGGGTTCTATCCAGTGCTTCCGAAGCGCGGTGCCCTTTGTGAGATGTTGTGAGAATCGCTGCCTTGGCCTTTGGGTGGAGGTGTCTGACTCTGAAAGTCAAGGCAAACAAAAGGCGGGTCATATTCACGTTGCTTGGGACGTGATGTTACAGTGGTTTCAGAGTAGATTGCACATGTCTTTTAGATGGGGGCCCAAATATAAGCCACCTTTCGGGGATTTTGCCCTCTACTCTCAATCCACTTTAGGAACAGTGACGGTTCGGCTGCCGAGCACCGTTGGACCGGCGTCACACCCCCGGTCACCGTGCACCGAACGCTCCACCTCTTCGTTTCAAAGGGGCAAAGACAACGACTGAAACCGATTTGAAAGGAAGACGACCCTCATCATGAACACATCACATGGAAGTGGACAACCACCTGTTTGTAGAAGAATATAGTCATCCATCGGGCCATGCCATCCACTTCCATGTTAGTGAGTCGGAGTGTACCACATGTTCCATGGAACACCTTTCCACCATGGATTTGAACAGTTTTGGCAGGTGAGACCCACTTTTCCTGGGAAGCTAAGGCCAGACTGACGAGTGGGCCAGACAGACGCTCGGCCAAACAGCCGGAGCCTCCTTCTCCCCAACTCATCCGAACCGGAGAACCCCGGACCCTCTGTCCGGCCAAGTGCGGTTGAACCAAAAAGAGTTGCCCTGCCTGAAACATACACCTGGAGGTGCATGTCTGAAGAAGTTCTCCCCCCACTCAGGGCTGTCAGAAGAACATCTGGCTGTGAGGAATCACCAAACATGACACATGGTGTATTAATAGATTTTAAAAAAGACGTTGTTTGTCAGCGGATACTGCAATGACGCAAATCATTCAACATGTTGAGCTCCTGGACACGAACCACGCGGTGCTTGTAAAATTACTTATATTCCATTCATTTGGCTGGACAAACTGCACCCTTCCGCGACTCTGTCACACTTGGATCTTGGCTGCGATGTAAGCCGTGATGTGAAGTTGCAACTTATGTCATTTAAATAGATATACCATAGGCTTCCACCCACCATTGATTCAATAGCCTTGACCGAAGCATCATTGTTTTACTTATAGGATTTTACACTACACAACCAGTTCAACCATTTTTTTAAATGGTCTCGGAAGGCTAGAGTATATATGTATATATAATATATATATCCTATGATGGATCATGCTAGATATCCGCCAATCTCAATGGGTGGAGACCTGACCATCGACCCACCAGTTGCCGATGCCGGCGCCTTCTTTGCCACCCTGAGAGATGAGAAACGGGTCCCAGGACCCGGGTTCGCTTCTCGAAACGGGATTGACTTGTTTGGGTTCCAAGATCTCAAATGGATAATAACTAGGATTATCTTGATTATAGTATTAACTAAATATTCCGTATGTTCATGATATGATATTTCATGATACTCCCTCGCTTTCTACTTAACATGACACAATGCAAGGATTTTTGCAGGTTTTGATGGCTGCCAGCGATCTTGCCGCCTTTTGTGAACTGGTGGATTCAGTTCGTCCTGATCTTAGGACGTGATGATGTGCCACGCACCCACGTTGACCGTGCCCACATCTACCATCCCCAATTTCCTCTACGACAAACAAAGGTTTTCATGGGTTCTCCACTTCCATGATTGTTTCAGTGTGTACCATCCCACATCTTAGAGCCAAAGCCTCATCCGCATTGGGAGTCTTGAGCGGCTGGGACGAAATGAGGATGCCAACCCAAGCCATCTATAGCCAGGGTGAAAGCCAGGAGGACCGGGAGCCAGTGTGAGAGTTTTGCCCACCTATTGCTTCAGCTCTTCAAAAGCTCCACTGTGCCACAGGAGTGAACGTGTCAACAGCAGCCCACAAACGTGTCAAGCTGAGTAAGCAGTCCCGTCTGAACATACAATTTTACTAAAAAAATTGCTCAACGACTCAACGAGACAAAAAAACTACCAGGTTTACTGCGACTTGGGACCTGTAGGGATTCTTTCTCTGGTCCAGGCTTGGGTCTCCAGTCTGTGGACGGCAGCTTCGGGTGCGAGCCGGCCGTCTTCCTTCGTGCATCACTCCAGAAAGCACCAGGAGCGATGCAGTTTCCGCAAGGAGCGACCGCAGTTCAAGGAGGCCACCTGTTCAAGTCGGAGTTCCGCAGTGTCCAACAAAGCTGGGAGCAAGCAGCCTGGCAGTGGTTGCACCCTTCTTCTCCGTTGAAAACGACGCAAATCCAGTGCCAGCTGGCGACGTCTCAAGAAGAAATCCAGGTCTCCAGCCGATCCAACTTGTTGATTTATGTTGATTTACCCGGGAACATGCAGGTCTTCCCCGTGCACCTGCATCATCTTCTCAAAGCGAACCACATGGAGTCGGCCAAGCTCATCCGAAAGGCGTCGTGCTTCTTGGTGTGGACCGGTCTCCACTTGGAGCTTCGTTGGTCAATTTGGAATCTGTCAAATGTTTGCATGCCAGCACCTCCAAGGGGTGGTGAATGGACACCCCTTAACAGCTAATTAGGGCTATATTAATAGACACTCCCATGGTACCTTCGCATACCTTTGCAAAGACTTCCGGGACGGAACCGGACGCGTTCCAACTTCGGACCCTCGTCCTCGACCTTCCCACCGGTGCCCTCCGGCCTTGACCACCTCGGCTTTTCGACTTTCCAGCCTCGACGATCCGCGCAGTCGATCGATTGCGCCGAATCGATTGCGGGTGACGCATGGTTTCCGCGCAGTGGTCTCAGCATCGAACAAGCTGACGCCAAACAGTATGGGCACTGGGTGGCGCAAGGCACCAAGTGCCGGGGGAGGTCGGAAGGGGTCAGCATCGAAGTCAATGGAAGCGCGAGCGCGCAAGCGCAGATAGCATGTTTTAGGCACGATGGCGACAGCATGTGCCGTGTGTGGCCCAAGACTGCTGGTAAAGGAGGCATGACATCAAGCAGGCCATGCATTGAAGTAAAAGCACACGAAAGCGAAACAAAGGAAAGGAACCTTGCTGGCCGGCACAGGGTGTGCCACTGTCTGCATCTTTTGGTCAGGGAAATCTCCATGATTCTCCATAATATCAACATATTGTCATATATCAACAAATTCTGCCAATTCCTTACCCTGCATGACCCCCCTCCCCTGGCCTAAAAAACCACGCAAAAACCGGGCGCTTCCACCTCACAGCTTCCACCTCACCGGTCCCACCAGGGCACCGCGCCACTCGTTGTACTCCGCCACCAGCTCGGGATATTTCCGGATGAAGTCCTGCAGGTCCATCAGCGGGTCCATCAGCTCAGGTTTGTTTCGGCGCTGGTCTGTGCCGCTGTGCCGGTGTGCCTATATATTTGCCTCCTGTGCCTCCGAAATGGATTTGTTGCCGTGTTCAGCATGAACATCCCAGAGTATCGAATTATTAATGAATTATTGAGCTATGCTGATGTGTTCTATAGGCTAGCCAGTCTCAATCTCAACTAGCACCAACTCACCGTCATAGCTGCTTCTCATTCCAAGATCTGGGCCGCTGGCTTCCTCTGAAACCTGGAATAGGCTCGGTCTTTCAATCTGACCCTCATCCCAAAGCTATCTCACTTCTAAATCGACCATCTGTTTGGGGTGTTGACCGGCCTACAGCTATCCTCTAATGATGGATTTATCCATAACATCAACCATTTCCTGAGCCCGTGTCAACCATCCAGTGGCGTGTCTAACCGTGCAGTACGACCGGGACCAACGGACTGCTCTCGCAGCTCCCGCTCGGACCTGCTCGGCGCGCCCCCAAAACGCCAACGGTGCCTGATCTTGCTCAGCTTTCAAGGACCACCTTTCTTTGTCCTGAAAAGCGTCGACGCATGGCGGAGTTCCATCTCGTGGATGGCGTTCACCAATCGAGCGCATGGCTGGGTCAACATCGCTAGGTCAAGAGTCAGTGAAGACGACCTGACCCAAAACTGCCAGATGACCGGCGATGACAAGCGCCCAGCGCCATTGGTGACCTGACTGGGGTCATGATGACCCACCTGTTTGTTGGCAACAAGTATACGCCGCATATATGCCGGCCGCATATGCCATGCCTATGATACTATGCCGGCATCCAACCACCATTGATCTGATGGTCGTTATATTGTTTTACTAAGGATTTTACACGACACAACCAGGGCAACCAATTTTTTTATGCTCTTGAGAGGCTAGGGTATGGTCAAACGATGCCGTCAACCAATCTCAGAATGCTTCCGACGCAGCCTGAGCCGTTTACCTGAAAAACAAACACACAAACGTTCTGCTTTACTTTAAATGGGAAGAGCAATGCCCAAGAAAAGGTAATGGTGATCCACTTCTCCTGGGTAGCAAGCCCTGGTTGGCTAGCCCCTCCTTCGTCTTCCTGAAGACATGGATGGTGCTTTTATGCGATGCGGACACCCACATTGTCTAATTGCTTTGACGCCTTCTGGAGCCGATCTTAGGGCTGCATGTTCGAGTCAAGAGCAAGTCCGGGTGTTGTTTTCATCACTGCAAATGTCAGAGCTCATCACCTAGCTGCAACCCGCAAAGGCATAACTCTCAATGTGCGCCACAGAGTCTGGGATGTTTTTCAAGCTCATCAAAGACTTGCAACCATCAGAAGTATAATCTCTAATGGGCGTCGCTGACTTTGGGGTGGTCAAGTTTGTCAAGGATCCGCATCGCATGAAGGCACAATTCCCAATGTGGGTCACTGAGTGTGGGATAGTCAAGTTTGCCAGAGAGCTGCAACTGTCACAGGCAGGATCTCCAATGTGCGCCACAAAGTCCGGGATGGTCAAGTTCACCAAAGGGCTGCAATGCTTGAAGGCACAAATCTCAATGTGGTGTAGCTCTTTGGTGAACTTGAAGTTCACCAAAGAAATACACTGTGCAAAGACGCCATTCCTAATATCCAAAGGCATGATCTCAAATGTCGGTCACTGAGTCCGGGATGGTCAAGTTTGTCAAGGATCCGCAGCGCATGAAGGCACAATTCCCAATGTGGGTCAATGATGCGGGATTGTGACGGTTGCCGAAGACTTGCAACTTAAAAGGCTTCATGTCCAATCTGTGAGCCACTGAGTCCGGGAATTTGTGGACTCAACTCGCCACTGAGTCCGGTCGCCACTGAGTCAGAGGGTCAACTGAGTCCGGGTTATGTGGCAACTCGCGAAAGCGTTTTCACAAATGGCAGTTTCGCCACTTAGGGATTTCGACCGCAAGCTGTTCCGAGGACATGACACCATCAAGACTGCAGATAACATATCTTTGTTGGAACATATCACAATGTTCGGCTTGAAGACCACGCTCACAACAGTATCTGCAGCAATTCCTGTGTCCAAGACCTTGACATCATTGGCCAGTAATTGGCAGTCTCTGACAATGATCTCCACAGTGGTTCCTAGGAGTAGCTTCATCCCAAGTCTCCCTCTCGGATCTGCTGCATAGGCTTTCGCTCCCAGCCTGTCATCTCTGGGATGACGTCAAGGACCATGCTTTCACTGTCACCACTTGGCTGCAGAACTAAAATTTGCATCGCCATGGCGAGACATCACCTCTAGGCCTCTAGGGAGCCTCTATAGGTGTGACTGCTGTTGATTTCTAGAGCGGCCCAACACATGCACCGTCAGAAAACACCTTGCCGCACCTTGACCCGGTCGCATGTTTGGATGTCAGGGTTAGGCTTGAACCTTAAGTTTTTTGGTTGCCAAAAGTAACTGATAGTCTCGGTTTCTGACTGTAAGAGAATGTGAGAGGCTTCCAATACATCCTGAACCTTCGTATCTTTCGCCGAACGACAGGGTCGTCCACGCCCATTGGTCCTCCACGACCGGTCCACCGCCATACGGAGAAACGACGTCAGGACGTCGACCGGTCGCTCCACGCCCGCCACGGTGCCTGGGATTCCTCCATAAGGCCTTCAGCGATCTCTCGCAGGGTCTCGACTGAGACTGACTGCTGAAAGACCTCAAATGCGGAGAACGGACAGGTGTCGGGCAAGACGAACAACGGGTGAAGACAGCCGGTGGTCACCGACAGGTGTAAAACAACATGTGGAATGCATATAGGATTATATGGCCCATGATCACACCGCTGCTTCTCTGCGCCACGCTTGGCAGCAACAAAAAGACACTCATTTCAGCCAGCAGTGTTGAGAAAGTGGGGCTTTCCTCAAAGCAATCCTGAAATCTATCGGCTGACGATTGTTTCAACAGATTCATCAAGGGATCAATCTGACATTGATCTCAACTCTGAACAGAACTAAATCAAATTGATCCAACTTTTTCAGTGAAACTAGCAAACCACTTGCCCTGTCATGAATCAAACATAGGGCCATCCCCTTGGCAAAGTCTATATCCAGGCAGTGCGACTCTGGATGCATGCTCAAGCGCGCATCTTTTGGATCTTCGGCTTCTCATATTGCTTCACTTCAGCAGACTTTGAGGATTTGGAGGATTGTCGGGGAGTCTGCAACTATGCCAATCCAGGCACGAGTGCCATCCAAGTACGTATTCCACAGCTCTGGTTGATGATTATACTTTGCTGTAAAGATATTCAAGCCTTCTGCATGTTTCATTTTACATGAAAACATCTACAGTAATAATCAATGCATGAACACGAAAACACTCTAAACCGCAACCATGAACCCATTTACATCTACGGCTTGACATCGGTGATGTCGCTGACATCGGCACACGAATCGCCTGAAGTCCTTCGACCACCCGCAGCAACAGAAACCGGGATTGAAGGCCCAACCACCGTGTGGGCAGACCTTGGAGCAGCGAACCACCACGGGAAGACAGCGAGCTGGATCAGGCGAGCTCGAAATGAAAATAGAAACGAATTCGGCGTGCTTTCGATTTCTTCATCGGTTTCCTCGAAAAAAACATATTATGGGGTTGCTCTGACACCCGCCTTTTTGTGGGGGGGAACGTGAAGCCCGACATGTCCTCCTCAAACCATTCAATATCAAACATGTATAAACATGTCGTAATCCGGATCTTTGTCCCCTGAAGGGATGCGGGTCTTGACCCCCGAAACTCCCGTTTTCTCCTCCTTTTCTACAGACCTCTGACTCAGGGGACCCCGGGGACTCGTGGTGTCTACGCTGATTCACTCTGTAGGCGTGACTCGTCTGATCCTGCTCTGTGGGCTTGTGGTGGACTACGGCACAGTGAGCTGGCGCCACAGCACCAAAACTGACCTCTCCTGATCTGGGCGTCCGGGAGAGAAAACAACATCCAACAAAAGTCTCGCGCGGCATGTCTTAGCTGTGGTGGCTCTAGTTTCCAGCTACCCTGAAATCTGCCCGGAACATGATGATAAATGCCAAGATGTGCAACCTTTGGGAGGAAGAAGAACATGATGTCCATCACAAAGACCTCACATGGATGGTGTTCACCTCAAGCGATGAAAACATAATCAAACCGTGCCCATAGCGGAACGAGTCGCCCGGCACCAGTCTTGCCGAAAGTCAGTGCATCGGCACATTGATTCGCGCATGGCCAGACATGCTCCCTTAACTGGAACCAAACCTTTGGAGTACATATGCTGTGGGCAACATGGGAATGATATTCATGCTGGCACTAGCCTTCCCAAGACGCAATGACTTGGCAGAAGTACTAGCTGTACAAAATAAATCTCCATGCAACCCAGCACGACCATGCGAAATGAATCTCCATTGCAGATTGTGGTCAGCTTCCTTTGGCTGTGTAGGCAGTAGGCAGTTCGATGTTACTGCAGCTGCACTGCTGTTCTTGGGGTTAACTGTCGGGGCGCCTGTCAAGTACCGCAGCTTGCTCCACCGAATTGACATGCAGCCTAACCGCGTTTGCGGGAGGGCGTAGCATCTTCTGCGAAAAATAGGCGAAGATGAGCGTTCAACACAAAGTTCAATTTGCTTTGATCTAGGGTTCAATTGAATGGGTTCAACTAAGGACGCCCCAGCCTCGAAAGTGAATCATGGTGCTTTGGATTCATCATGATTCATCTTCGTCTATGTGCACTTATGGGAGGAGGTTTCTAAGTTCATAAACTGCTTCTTATCACCTGGGGAATGCGGGAGGATGTGGTGCTTTGGATGGAATAAACGTGACATCACAATTGTGACATCAGAACCTGAGACCCAAACAAGCATGCAATGGTCAATAGTCATGTCAGGTCAATGGTCAATAGTCATGTCAATTCTAGAAACTCGCACGTCTGGGGCAATCTGGATACTTGGGCAAATTATTGGTTTTCGTCATCTTGCCTTGAGCGAGAGAAACTCCCAGTGTCTCTCTGAAGAATCGCAAAATTTGCTCTGGCTGTTTGACTGCATGGTTTGGACGAGCTATTCACTGGACCATGCTGTGTTGCATCCGATATTTTGGTCGATTGGATCATTCAATTCGTTCCCAACACCATCGGGTCAATGGTCAAACACACACTAAGCATAATATGCTGACTGCTTCTCAAAGATAGATACAAAACAGCTTGAGACCAGCACTTTCTTGGTTGTCCCCCTTTTTCCTCGGAACAAAAAACAACGAAAATAACCGAGAGATCGCTGTATTTCACACCAGCTAGCAGCTAGAATCAGCTAGATCTGATCAGGCTGTAAAGAAAAAAGAGGTTTGCGGCTGGTGTTCTGGTTTGGGCTTACGGACTAGCCATAGGTCCATAGGTAACGCGATTCGCAGCTGAGAAATTCTTGTGATGACACAGCCTGGTAGCGGTTGCTGAAGGCGAGAGAACTGCTACCAGATACCTGGAACTGCCATACACGCATCTTAGGTCCAAACATCCAAGGGGTAGATCAACCTGCACTCGGTAGTTGTTACATATTATCAGGGTTTGTTTTTACGTGTGATTACAGGGTGCCATTGTCAAAAGCTGTTGTTGCCGTTGAAGTGTTCAAAGAAGTTATGGGAATTGGAGGGTGACTACAGTATCCTTCCACAATTCAGGGTGACCATGTCAACCAGTCAAGCGAATTTCCCTTCACACGTTGCCTGTATCACTTGCATCCAGCAAGTTTCGAAGGAACACGGACTGCATCTATATAAAGGGAGTGACCATCTGGGATTGTCTAACAAAGCTATCCCTTAGGCTTCAACCATATCATCAGGCTGTATAGTTATATGGACCCCCTAAAACCGACCCTCACCACCGAATCTGAGTTCATTATCAGCCAGTTGGGCAAATAGTTCGAACATGCGCAAATCGATACATCTCCCCGGCAAACAGGTGGTCACGTCGACCTGTAATGACCTGTATAGTTTCTCAAGTGCTCCATCTTGAACATGCTGGTATGTAGTATGGACCTGAATTAAAAACATAATGCCAAGGAAACCACAGGTTGGTCAAACAACCAGAGCAGGCACCCAAAATTGTGCGTTCAACAGCACAGACAAACGACAAAGCACTCCAGGCAATGCAGTGCTTTATACACAAGTACTTGTTGCTGGAAGCTAACAGCTAACAGGGTTCCAGTGAGATGCGGTGAGGCCATTGGTGCTCCCTAACAGAAAAGAGTTGCACTCTCCGTCCAACGTGTTTTTTGGTCGGAGGGGACCGCCACACTTGGGCCAAGTTCAGTCCTCCCACCAGCACCAAGCTTGGTGCTTCTGTGCTGGTGTGTTTTGGTAAGCCCGCATAGACAATCTGACTTGTTCATTCCCTACCCGGAGCTTTACTGCCATCGTCCCATGGTCCGTGCTCCGAGCGCCTTGGCTTTTGAGTCTGGAATGCTCTGCGCTCAAAATGGCGTGCTGAACGGAGGGATTAAGGCGCAAAAACGCCTGTGCTCCAAGCTAACTTGGCGGACGGAAAGTCGGGTATGAAACGATGTCTGTCTGCAAAGGAGTCTGCCACGTTGCAAAAACCTTAAAGATGTTCCCAAGACATACATGTTGGGTCATTTTGGGGTGAAAGGTGGCGAACAACAGCTGTGGGTGAGTGACGTGTGGGGATGTTTGATCACCTTGGTTCTTGATCCATGCCCAAACAAGTTGACTACAACCAAAAGAGGAGTTGATCTGTTCAAAACCCAAAGACAATTCTTCCCGGAGGTGTAATAAAAAAATATAGACTAATTATATATATAAGTACTCCAAACATATTTAGTGTACTGACAATACTTCCGTAGTCTACTGAAACACGTATGGACCAAAGCCTTAGCGGAGAAAAGCAATGATGTCGACCTGGAACGGAGGCTTCGGCGGTTTCACCCGAGTGAAGGACCGGAGACCGGAAGAGACCGACCTCGTCGCATCGGTCATGTTCGGCGGTTCTTCTTCCCCCAACAGCCTTGAACGAAACTCCGAAAAACGCGAGGAGTTTAAGGTGTGACTTCGAAGCAGATACGTTTCTCTTGGAGTTCGTGCCTGCAGGCACGAAGAAGAACACAATCTGCTCTTCCAAAGACTAGTTAAACCAATCAGTATCATCCCATTCATCATCCCAGGTTGACTACTATCTAGGGATTGGACACCTTCCATTTGAAAACGTCTGGAACACTCCACCACGACCGCCCACGCTTCTTGAAGCCTAGTCGGCTTACCAGACGCGCCAATGGAATCATTTATAGATTCATCCGATTTGGCTCGCAAACCAAAGCGAGCCGCCCGCGCGGCGAGCTGGAGCGCTCCAACGGAGCCATCACATGATAAGAGCTTAAAGACAGGCACTCAAAATCCCCAAAAACATATAGGTTCCTTAGACTTTAGACACTCTGTCAGCAATCTCTTAAACAGGTCAGCAATCTCTTAAACACTCACCTGGGAAGCCTTTCAACGGGGGATTGCTCATCGCAATGGGGGTCCTCGACAGGGAGGGCCACCATGATTCCTTGGATCATGCTTTGATTGCAATGGGTTATTGCAGTCCCTAATCCAATGGTGCCTTTAGTTCGGAGGCATAAATCTACTTACCCTTGATATTTAGCAGGGGTTCCCTAGCAAGTAGGTGCATGCTCCAAAGCATGAGCGTTTAATCCCTAACGATTGTGAACATCACTCTAGGTCCCAACTCGACGCGTTGAGAAACATGTTGCCACATATTACACATCCACGGAGCGACTCGGGCCAAGGGCAGCAAGGGCCAACATGTACTGCATGTGCTGCATGAAACACCAAAACAATTGATAAACAAACTAACCATTCTCGTCGCACATCTTAAATTAGTCACTGTGATCTCTTCATTGATACAAATTCTGCTTATATGTTAAAATTGGGATGATGTCAATATGGCTCGAACAGGGGATCCCTCGAACCCCTCCTAAACCCTAGGACTGGACAGCAGTCCCCGCTGTGGACTGGGGCCGGACTGCAGACCCCGGCAGTCCTAAACCAGGGCCATCCATGCAGAAGCAGCAAATACGTCCAATACAACAATCCCAGGACCTTCCAAGCCGGGTGGTTTCTGAGACACCCCGAATCACCTCTAAGAGGCGATTCATAGACACAGCTTGGAGGGTCTTGGTCTAAACATCTTGATCTTGACACCTCTGGTGCACGGAAATTCCAGTCAAGCGTAGGTCAACCACCAAACGAGCCTGCTTTAGGGTGCAAAGATCCACCGACGTCCAATCCTGGTCTACAGTGATCAATCATAACTTTGCATCACGGAAAGCAGCCCCATTGAGAACTACTTCACCTTGGTCCTACTTCAAAACGTTCAAGTTCTGCAGATGGAGTCAAGTTCTGCCTTGATGATTCCAATACATCCGTCGCCTCATGCCAAGCACCTCAAACGCCCAAGGGTTCGCCAAGATCCGGGATGCTCTTCCCATGCCGAGCGCATCGCTCAGGACATCCCCAGTTTGGTCCTGCCGTCGGTCCTGGCATCGGACGTCCAGGATTCGGGGCTTCCAATGTGAGGACGCCCAAGGTGTTTAATTCTGCCCCTCAACCAAACTCTGGGTGAACCGTGCTTTGTTCGAATTGTCTGGTGTTTCGTGCCACCAAGGAGTGATTGTTGGTGTCCCAAGAGACTCAAATGTGACAATAAATTCTCCTATGTGAGCCAGAGCTGAAAGTTGAACGAGCATCCATTTCCCAGTTGGTTGGTTGGTTGGTTGGTTGGTTGGCTGGCCATACCAGCTGAAACAAATGATGAAACACACTCGGTGTATGGATACCTACATACATACATACATACATACAGACAGACAGACAGACAGACAAACAGACATACATACATGCATGCCTCCATGCATACATGACATTACATTACATCACATTCATTACATACAATTACATTACATATCATAATTCATAACATAGCATGACATAACATACCACATGTGCACACATTTACACCGGGCAGAAAGTCGCAAACACAACTACTAAACAACTTGCCACATTGCAGGGGGGTAGACGGCACAGCGATTTTTGATGGTAATGATTTAGCCTCTTCCAGGTCAGGAACAAATTATATAGATGGCACCAGTAAGAGGAACTCTTAACGGCAGTGCATCTTGGGAGGTACATGTCCACCTTCAGAATTGATGGCGCAACCCAAGGTTTTGTGGCCCTCAGACTGGAGTAACTTTGCTCTACCCAAAGGACATGTTATCATTGCTAGCCGCTAGCCCACGGTTTGGGCCAAAGGCTGGTGGACGAAACCCAAACCTTCTGCCCCAAATCGACCCTTGACTTCCAACTTCCAACAACTCTGTTTATATTTATTATATGCATATTTCAATAATGAGGCCCCCAAAAAGCCGGCAACATCAATTCAAAGCCTAGGGGTTCTAATAGGGGCTTGTACTGGAACAGGGAGACGCCTCCTGGCCAAATGGGTCTCGGTCGATTTTAACACACACACACACACACACCTGGAGCCTTCAACAGGGTGTTCAAAGGATATCCACAAGTAGTGTATTAGGGTAGCCTATTGGAGACACCCTTGCCAGGTGCTGACATGGATGACATATACACTCTGGCTCACTCAAATGGAAGTGGAAACCACCCTGTTGATGAAGGATAATATTTAACCAAAAGGATGTTTCATCCAAGGGTACATGTCCATCCATTTTCCGCTTCCATGTTGGTGAGTTGGAGGGTGCATCATCTACCCTCCCCAACAGTCCAACAGTCGCGGAGTTCACCCCCTCTTGGTGCACGATTTGTTCGTCTGCCTTTCGGGGCCAGGACGTCCACTTCCAGCATTGCTGGAGGAGGTATTGTATGGTATAGACTCTTATGGAGGATACAAATAATCAACCGTTCTATACCATACAACTTACAACGGTTCCATACTTGTGGGATTGATCAATCAACAGTTCTTTCCATCCCTCAGTGCTAAACCACACCACCGCGGTCCCAAAATCATCACTAATCTAAAAATGGTGCCTGACACGCTCAGCTCGCCCCACCTCAGCAAGCATGTGCGGAACGGAACTTGGTGTTCAAAACCTCCTTGCAAAGTACAAACTCTTGCGCGAAAACCTTGAGCGACCACAGTGGGAGCTACAACTTCAATAGCCGTGGACAGCATATCAACAGCCAATAGCTAATGGTCCAGGGTGTTTTTTTTGAAGTCTTTGGGTGGTTCAGGTTCAAACTGTTTCCCGAACACCATGGAACTTAGCCTGACCATGCCAGGGGAACCAACTTTTCCGATGCCTTCAGTTCAAGGGCTAGTGGCTAGCACTTGGTTTGATTTCCCAAACGCTCCATGTATGGAATTGGAAGTTATGATATTGACGCAAATTGACGCCTTTTTGAATCACCCCAATTGATCGGTCTGTGCCACGTCTGCATGTCACGGGAGTTGCTTGAGAGGTCCTTCTCGGTTGGTCTCGTCCAAAACACAGCGCCGAACCCGGGGCCACCGAGGCCCCAGCAGCCTGATGCTTGAACCAGGAAGGAGGCCACTCCTGGAAAGTCGCAGTCGGAGAGAGTTTTCACGCACAGTTTTCATGGCACATTCCAGGAAAACGCCATTGGTTTGCCCCAAAAACGCTGTCACCTCAGTTGATTGAAACATTGATTGAGTTTGTTTCAGCCATGCCGATGTTATTTTCCATGTTATCCCTTTGGATTGTAGACACAACATGGAGCGCAAATAGTTTTGCTAGCCCCACCTGAGATCCACCTTTGATGCTCTTTTCAAGACATACATGATCAAACTCACTGCATACTTCAAGTTAGATTGCGCCAGCATACACAAGTGTAGTAGCAAAAGGAAGCAGGTTTGCATTGGATGAAAGGAGACGACTCTATAAGGCACGCGCTGAAAATGAAGAAACCAAGTGTAGAACCTGTATATGGAGGAAAGGTTGCCAGAACTCGTTGGAATCCAACAGAGGAAGCAAACAAAGAGAAAGTCTTCAGGGGCGCAGCAAGGATACCCTCACACACACACACACATTTTCCCATTTTGTTGGCTCCTAAGCTATGGCCCGCTAGGACTCTGCCATGAACCATTCGCCCAATAAACCAGTTGCAGTCCTACGGCTACCCACTTTGGAGTGCTGGTTGATGTTCAACCTATCCTTTAAGTAGCGCCAAAGGCGGTCTGTGATTTGGGTGCCTGATTTCACTTTCAGAGGCGTCTTGGCGCCAGGAACCTTCTGCTTCTGGATCTGGACATACGTCCGTGCAGTCCACTTGAACTTCCTGTTGATTTTGACTCTCTCTTGCTTTTGTACGACTTGGTCGTGGAGGACGCAGGAGACATTGGAGGCATAGTATGGAGGGTGATTTGACGATCTTGCAGCCACCTGCCAGAGGTTCCCATTCCACCTTGTGAGCCGCCAGCAAGCTAGCCCAAAACCGAACCGAGTCACTGCTCAAGTCTCTGGAATCAGTTCAGTACACTTGCCACGTATATGCCGTTGTGTGGCTGGCCGGCGCACCATTTTTTGCCTCTTCAGAAAGTTCAACAATTTGTTTTCTGCTTCCACGGACCAGCGCCACGCAACCCAACAGGTGATAGTTTCAGGCCACGTTGCGCACTGCAAACCATAGCTGCCAACTGTTTTTGGAGTACCGGCAGCCTGGACTCATGGATTGGCACTTCTCCGTCGAGTACTTTCTGAAGCAGGATCTGCAAGGGAGATGTTGGTGTGGCCGCTGTTGGTGCAGCACACCCAGCACCATAACGGCTTGAGTGCAATTCAGTGTCAAGCTGCCGCTGACAGGAATTGCCATGGTGTCGACGGTGGTCACAGCAGATGGTTGAAGCGACTTCGAGAAGTTTGCCGCGGTCATGCGCACATGGAAGACATTGCCGCATGCACATGCACAAAGAAGCAAAGCAGCGAAACATGCTTTGTTGACTTGCCTTTGTCAAATGAACCCTTGTTAAGACTTGAGATCGCCATTCATTGTGTGACATCAAACTTCCCAGTTCCAGACTGGATTGAAGATTGAAGATTGATTGAGGATGTGAGAAAACTCTTGGCCAGAAATCTAGAGATCTGGATTGAAGATTTCTGGCCAGGAGTTTTGTGCAAGCTTAAACCTTCAATCCAGGGATCGCAATCTTGCATCCCAAGTCTGACATCTGTTCAGACTTGAAAATCCCAAGTCTGATTTTGTGTAAGCATAAGTTCTTGGAAGAGCATGGATCTCAGGGAGCGGGTGGCTCTCAGGAGGGTACGAGTACCATATATATATATATATGAGAGAGAGAAGATCATGCGGTTCTCGTTTCAACATGGTTATCTCTTGAAGATCTATTTGTGGGGCTGGTCAGAAACAAAGTGCCATGGATTGATTCAAACAGTCGGCTGATTGTTTGGCCAGCTTTCCAATGCCACACTTTCCGTATTTCAGTCTCCAGAACCACGAGTAGAATAAGAAATTGGAAGAACATCCAATGGATTCCAATGGAGAATTCATATGAATTGCCAATTGGTGAGATCCACCTGCCATCTATCTGCTTCACTGGGTTTGGAGTCCCATTGTTTCTTGCACCGCATTCGTTTGGTCTACATTACACATTGCATGAACAATATACCAAATCCGAATCCCTTTGGTTTCACAAGAGCTTTGCAATGCACAACGATCGACAGTGCTTGATGCTCCTAAAGCGGCACCGAGGGAGAGCGAATAGAAGATCGCATTGGACATTCCTCAGCCGAGCCGAGCGTCCTTCGCGTCCTTCCCGTCTCTCGGTCAATGAATCAACTTATCCCAGGCCCAAATCCAAAGACCTATTCTCACTCCCTTAGTGTCCCATGAACATAAAGGTTGACCTGTTCATACCTTTCCGTGTTAAATTGGAGAAATCAATGGCCTCCAAAACAGTTCACAAACATTCACAGGCTATCCACTCTTCCTGGGTATAGACCATGGGCTACTCCACTGAAATCAGTCCCAAAACCATGCGACTCCACAACACGACCTCCACCGTGGTGACACGGTGCGCTCCCGCAGGTCTCGGGCTCCGGGCTTTTGGGGTGCATGTCCTGAGCCGAGGGCGAAGCCGTGCGTGTGTTTTCTGTGCCACGCCGATGTTTTGATGGGTCTCCTCTGGGAACATCGGATGATCACAGCTGGTCTGACATATTAAGACCATCAAGAATCAAGACTCATCATTGAATGGGAACATAAACACCATGCAACTTGGGAGGAAGTTTTTTTTTCAGGCACGTGCGGTTCAAGGCCACAGTCGTCCGCAGATTCAAGCAAGTTTCTTAACCCCTGAACACACTCCAATGTCGGGGCTCACAAGCGATGGTTCTTGGAGACTTCAAACAGGTTCAACACCTAAAGAGACACGCATGCCCTGTGGGGGTCGTGGTGCAAGTGTTTGGTGTATTAGACATAAGAACTCATATGCATATGTATGCATATGTTATATATACAAAATCTGTGTAACAATTATGCAGTCTGTGCAAAACTTTGTCATGGCCTCCGGCTCCTTTACGCTTCGGATGCGGCATCGAATCGATGCATCGATGTAGCCGCTGATGGTCTGAGACCACCCTGTCCTTGTTACTGCCTGCTTCTTTGTTCGCCAAAACCCAGCAACACCCGGCAACCTCCCCATCGCTTGAATCTGCCACAGCGACGAAGAGAGCCCTTCGGTAGATCATCGCAGGCCAGGCTAATACCTCAGTCTGACCGCTGATCAAGATCTTGAAAGCAAATGGTTGGGTACTGAGCTGTTGCCACCGGCCATCCAGAACTGCAGGGTTGAACCGCTGTGGGGGTTTGATACGTGAATGATTGCCATCTACATCTGACATGGCACCTCATCACGACATCATAGGGCGATCGTTTCGTCGTTTCACCAGCATCCTTTTTGGTCTTCCAGGGTCTTCCATACGTGATCAACAGCATTTCCAGAGTGACCGAAGCTTCCGTGAGATCGTTTGTTCAGTTTGCTGAGTCAGTTTATGTTCATCTGACCTTTCGCTTAAAATGCACATCCGTATGTCGTTTGACTCTGCACATAGGTGGTCTTCTCCTGAAGGAGCAGAACCTCAATACTGCCCCCTTACCCCCACTGGGCAACCATCTCCTGATAACCCTGTGTTCAAGCCAAAAAATCGCATGAAAACGACAGGCGCCGAAGGAAACCGCCAGCAACTAGGGATAATAAAAAGTGAAATGGACTTGACCGATGTTCAAAAATCGAGACGTCCAACTCAATCTACTGACTGGTCCATCTGGTACACGGCAAACTCGGGAAAAACCCAGCGGCAAAACCAAGCGACAAACCCCTGAACCCCATCCTTCCATGGCCCATCCCCTTGGCCCCGACCCGATCCTTCACCCACGAGGCGCGATCAACGAACCGAAGCTGGCCCCGATGAGGCCGATCACGGCGGCGACCTCCACCAGTTCGCCGAGGTTTGGGGTTCGGGGTGACGAGGTTGGGGTACTTGGTTTCCATCCCAAGTTCACCAATGAGCTGAAACCCTTTAAACAATAAAAATCACATCCTCAATGTGGGTCACTGGAGATGGTGCAGCGCTTTGACAATCGTGATCATCCCAATGATTAAGGTTTGCCAAAGAACTGTAAAGCCGATGTGGGGATGATCATGTTCGCCAAAGAGCTGCATCTCGTTAAGGCACCATGTCCAATATGGGTCACTGGGTTTGGGACGGTCAGGTTCACCACGGAGCTGCAACTGTGGCACAATTTCCCTATGTTTGCAACCCATCACCCATCTTCACGCGCCGCAGACTGGTCTGCACCGTGGATGCCGATCGCGGATCACTGAGCCATTCCAATGTCTCCCAAACAGGTCTCTTCAGCTGTTCACATGGTCCGAGCCATTCCACGTCAAACGGTTCCTCTCTTCACTGGGCGTCGGTCCGTCGTCCGAGCCGTTCGTGTCCCGGGACACGGCGATATTCGGATACCGAGCGAGCGAGCGAGCGTGTCGTTGGGGGCGATGTGGGCTGAGAGGGTGGGTCGATGTTTGGTATGATTCACTCATGGCATTATATATGTTATAATGATTCAGCCAAATGGCTGCTGAACTGCAGCATGTAGCTGTCTATAATGCTTAAGCCGCGCCACATGCTAGACTGCAGCATGTAGCTGTCTAGAATGCAGGCAAACTGGGCGTGACCTGCAAACGGGAGAACTACGCACAAAGGCTATGGCTATGGCTCCCATAGATTCTTACGGTGCTTTTGGATGATCCGGTCACCTGCCGAAGAAACACCGGTGCTCATTGCTCATCAACCACTCACAGGGAATCCGGATGTGGGGGCGGACTAAGCTCTAGACAGGTCACCTAGAGTTGCAAATGGGGCTTTGGGATTTTCTTAATAAAGAAGCCTGGACAAACCAAAAACATGTAGAGAACAATTCTTCTCCAAAAGGGCTTCACCAAAGGGAACAACGTCCTTGTCTTCCACAAGAGGCAAACTGCACTCCGCCCCATGTTATCGTTTGCATTGAAGGCATGGCAGCAGCTGCGCACCTGCTTGCACCACAAGGCAATAGCGACACAAGTTGCCTTAGGCTCAGTTGGCTCAACCCAACAGGAACACAACTTTTTGCACTGTCCCAGAAAACACGGCTTGCCAGGAGTAGAGACGCCAAGGACAAATGCGTGGTGCAGTGGATATTTTATTTCCTGTTCTATTAATTGCCATGGTCTTCTCACAGGTTCACGCAAAGCAAGCAAAATCTCACATGTGCGTTTCAACACCCGGACAATTCTGATCAAGGACCCCACACAAACACATTATATAAATTAACAATGTGAGAGGAGAAGCTTCTCTGTATGTGTACATAATACACACATACACAAACAAACACACCCACACGCACACACACACACACACACACGCATCTCATGAAGCACTCACTCCCAAGGTCCTGAAGATCGCTCAAATTGCCGAAAACCTGTCCTAAAATCGGCCATCCGTCCCATCGCATCCCTCTCGAATGTCTCGAATCAGGGCTGTTAACATGTCCTCGATCATCTGGAGAAAGAGCAACTGAAGAGTCTTGTCTGAGGGAGGGTCACATTCATCTGCTGCCTCATCATCTCCTGGCAAACCAATCAATGCCAAGCGACGATGATGGTCGACACCACCATGAAGTGCCTAAGCGGGCAGTTGTATGAGGTCCGGGTCCCACTGTTTGGGAAACTCCATGATCGACAACTGCTGCAGGCCTTTTTGTTAACCATTAGTATTCCGAAGGTCTATCCGGGAATGGACCACGGCCTCAATGGTGTCTGCTGGGGGCTATGTGACAACTACACAGCTGATCTGAATGTGCTTGGGGGGCCAACTTAGCATCGACCATTCCACCTGGAAAAGCCAACAATCGCCCACGAAGCCGGGCCCGGCCCTGAAGTGGCCCTGAGTCCCACCAGCCTGCCAGGCCGGTCACGACGCCCAAGCAGGCCCAAGATGCTTGAAGCCTAGAGCAGCGATGCAAACACGTGGAGATGCCAATCTGCTTGGAACAGCAATCAAGCTATCAACCAATGGACAGCAGGTTTGATATGTTGGTTCTATGATCAAAACAGATTTCATTGCTCTTCTATCATAATGATAGTTCTTGCGAGTATGACGCTGCAAAATCGGGATGATGATGATGATGATGATGATGATGATGATGATGATGATGATGATGATGATGATGATGATGATGAT